GTGAAACTAATACCTTTCCTTTGTCCAGGATTTCCCTAAGTCTAAGAGATTTCGAAACAGCTGGGTCCTAGTGCTAGAGACTTGATCTGCCCCATTATTCTTGGAGAGTCAGATACACCCAGTGTTGGTAGTGGGATCGACCACACTCCGAAAAGGGCGTATGGAAGAGTTCTCAAAAACTATGTTGTGTGCCCTAAAATGTTAACCATGGAAACACCATACCTTTTCCTGATGATGTCATAGTTGTTGACATAAATGCATGCTTAAGAAAGGACTCGCGTCTTCAGTCAACAAGGTGATTTGCTACTTTACTCCTTGCTTTCGCTGTGGCTATAGTTTATTGAGTGTTACATACAAGTTTAGTGTTGCAGGGTAATGTGAAATGTAGGGATAGTATACTCACGCTTACTATCTGCGTGTATCATGAAAAGTCCTCAGTACACACAAGCCATTGCTTAAAATGGACAGAAACAATTGGAATTTGCAACAAAGCTAAATAAGGTATGAGAGCTGTTGACTGGATGTGTTTCCGTATTTCTGCATAGAAAGGTTAAAAAGGTGGCCCCTGCATGCATGCAGTAGTATGTTGAATCCATTCACACCTTGCTAACATACAGTTACTTGAATACTTGTGTAACATCCATTTCATATCAGTCATGTGCATGGTTCTTTGTGCTTGTAAATGTTATGAAAATAAAACGAAAGCATTTCATGTAGCTAATACTACCTTATTGTGCAGGTCCTTCCCCCACAAATGCTTATATCCACACGTATATTGCATTACTCCATACCCACTATAAGGAATCATAGCCCTGCAACCCCCTTTGATTGAACCACTGCTCACTGAACCTCGAAATCATCATGGGGGTATACATGAATTCTAGTACTGTGCAGTACCTAGGCTTCAGTAAAAGTAAGTGTGTGTGTGTGGGTGCATGTGTGTCTTCACACGCACACAAACACACACATAAATGCATATATAATGTAAGCTTATACACATTTCATAATCAAATAACCCAGGCATACACCGCAGCGCGAAGGTCTTCCCACAATTACCGTTGTTGAATGTTATCCTTTTTCATGACTCTGGCAACCTCCGCGGTAAGAGCAAGCTATATGATCTTTTTTTACGAGATGTTTCAACAGGCCGGCGTAGTCACATGATTAAATCCTCGCCTTCTTTTCCCCGACGGACACGGTTCCGCCAACATTTATTTTCCGTCTGGCTCTTGGTTTAATTTGTGTTCATTTTATTATTTTGTTCTCTTTTGTTTTGTCTCTTTTTTTCTCTTTCGTTATTCCTGTTGATAGAACTTGATAGATTTTTTTTTTTTACATTTCTATCTTTCTTTATTTTCCTCCTCCTTCTTCCACCTCCTTCATTTCATTCCTCATTTTCCTCAGAACTATTTTCCTCTTTCCTCCTTTCTTTCTTTTATTCATTTCCACTTTATCCTCTCTTCCCTTCCTTCCCATCTTCCTTTTCTATCTATCCTCTTCCCTCTCTCTTCCTTCTTCCTTCCTCTTATCTCCCCCCCTTCCCCCCGTTTATCCTTTTCTTCATTTCCCTTCTTTTTTTTTTCCTTTCCTCCATCATACTTTTCTTTCCCTCCACAATTATTCCTCCATCCCTATTCCTTCATTCTTCCTCTACTTTTTTACCACCTAAGGAGATCTCCGACCAATCCTTACCCACACCCTCCCTATCCTTACTTCACCCCCACCCTCCTTCCCCACCCCACCCCTTCCATCCTTACCCCACCCCACCCCCTCCTTACCCCACCCCCACCTCACCCCACCATCCTTACCCCACCCCCACCCCACCATCCTTACCCCACCCCCACCCCCATCATCCTTACCCCACCCCCACCCCCACCATCCTTACCCCACCCCCACCCCCATCATCCTTACCCTTCCCCCACCCCACCCCCACCCTCCTTACCCCACCCCCGCCCCCACCTCCACCATCCATTCCCCACCCCTACCATCCTTACCCCTCCCCCACCCCCACCATCCTTATCCCTCCCCCACCCCCACCGTCCTTACCCCACTCCCACCCCTACCATCCTTACCCCACCCCCACCCCATCATCCTTACCTCACCCCCTCCCCCACCCTCCTTACCCCACCCCCGCCCCCATCTCCACCATCCATTCCCCACCCCCACCATCCTTACCCCACCCCACCCCACCACCCTTACCCCACCCCCCGCCCCACCATCCTAACCCCACCCCACCCCCACCATCCTTACGCCACCCCCGCCCCCACCTCCACCATCCCCTCCACCCCCACCCCCACCATCCTTACCCAGCCCCCACCCCCACCCCCACCACCCTTACCCCCCCCCACCATCCTTACCCCACCCCTACCCCACCCCCACCCCCACCATCCTTACCCCTCCCCCACCCCCACCATCCTTTCCCCATCCCCGGACATTTATGGCTCTCCTGCCTCGTCGAGATGCTTTATAAACGTCGACATAAATATACGAGATGGGAGAATTATGAATGCTTGTTTCTCGTAAGCTCCCTCTTCTTTTCTGCCTTCTACCCCCCCCCCCCTCTCTCTCTCTCTCTCTCTCTCTCTCTCTCTCTCTCTCTCTCTCTCTCTCTCTCTCTCTCTCTCTCTCTCTCTCTCTCTCTCTCTCTCTAGCATTCTCTCGCTCTCTTAATCACTCACGCTTTCTCTCTCTCTCTCTCTCTCTCTCTCTCTCTCTCTCTCTCTCTCTCTCTCTCTCTCTCTCTCTCTCTCTTTCTCTCCCTCTCTCTTTCTTTCTCACTTTCTCTCTCTCTCTCTCTCTCTCTCTCTCTCTCTCTCTCTCTTTGTATAAACTTGCGTTTTAATTTTCTCAGACTTAATTGCGCTTTTCATATTCCGTTGTTTTATCATCATCTAAATGACGTTTTTTATGATGATTGGAGTAATCATTAGTGATATTGTGCGTATCATCTAGTACATTCATTATTTAAATTATTATTCATTATTCACGACGAGCCGTGGAAAAAAATGAATGAATATGGTTTAGCAAAGAAACTCTCTCTCTCGCTCTCTCTCTCTTTCTCTTTCTCTTCTCTCTTTTAATCACTCACGCTTTCTCTCTCTCTCTCTCTCTCTCTCTCTCTCTCTCTCTCTCTCTCTCTCTCTCTCTCTCTCTCTCTCTCTCTCTCTCTCTCTCTCTCTCTCTCTCTCTCTCTCTCTCTCTCTCCCTCTCTCTCTCTCTCTCTCTCTCTCTCTCTCTCTCTCTATCTATCTATCTATCTATCTATTTATCTATCTATCTCTTGCTCTCTTAATCACTCACGCTCTCTCTCTTTCTCTCCCTCTCTCTCTCTCTCTATCTATCTATCTATCTCTCTCTCTCTCTATCTATCTATCTATCTATCTATCTATCTATCTCTCGCTCTCTTAATCACTCAAGCTCTCTCTCTCTCTCTCTCTCTCTCTCTCTCTCTATCTATCTATCTATCTATCTATCTATCTATCTGTCTGTCTATCTATCTATCTATCTTTCAGTCTTTCACATTTTATCTAATAAGTGTATCAAGTTTTAGAATTCCTATATATGGTTTGGAATGTATGTTTAAAAGTTATATTTTGAATCATCGTGGAACATGGTTTTATTGCTGTTTTTTTGCGTGTTTGTTGCTGTTGTTGTTGTTGCTTTGTTTTCTTTCGTTTTGCTGTTTTGTCTTGTTTCGTTTTGTTGTTGTTATTCTTATTGTTGTTATTTTTTAGTTTGTTTGTTTTTTCTTCTAACAAATTAATTCTTGTTTTGTTTTCGTTTCTTTTTCTTTCTTTCTTTTTTTTTACAATTTTTCCTTGCATCTTTTAAGAAGAAAGAAAAATAAGCGTGAAAATCATGCTTCTATCTTCTCTAATTTCACTTTGCTTCAATTATTTTCTTTCCTTCTCTATTTCTGTTATTTTTACCTAAACTAAACCTTTTCCTTCTCCTAATCTTCCTTTACCATAGAAGAAAGCGAAAAAAAATAAGATTTTTACATAATATCAAAGCGCTATTAAACGTAACATTTTTTTCTTTTTTTCATAGGATTCATAAATAGGTTTATGACCATCCTTTAAAGATAAAATACATATGAATCTGTTCTTTAATTGATTGAATACTTAAAGTTGATCACTGCAAACGCTACCAGAAGGATCGTGACAATCAGAAAGCAATACGCAGAATGATAATAAAAATGCAACAGTATCTGACGTCGCGTGATATCAGATTTAATCTTAGTGAGGTGAAGTGATAAGTCTCAGGCCTCTTTGTCTTTTGTCTCTTTGTTAATTTAAGAATGTTCACTCGTGGGATGCCTACGTAATAGAAGTTCTTCGTTTGTTATTGGGAAATGTTAATAGTGCAGTAGGTCGTTCATTAATATTTTCGTTGTTGTTGTTTTCGCGAAATATGAAGTCATATTGTTTGAGGATGTAGTGTTCCTTTTTGTTTTTGTTTTTTTCTCTCTCTATCTATCTGTCTATCTCTTTCTATCTATCTGTCTATCTATCTCTATCTATCTATCTGCCTATCTATCTCTCTCTATCTATCTGTCTATTTCTCTATATCTATCTGTCTATTTATCTATCTCTATCTGTATCTCTATATATCTGTCTATCTATCTCTCTCAATCTATCCATCTCTCTATCTCTCTCTACTATCCATCTATCTAATTATCTGTATCTATCTCTCTGTGTATTTTTTCTCTTTCTCTCTCTCCATCTCTATCTGTCAACCTATCTAGCTAGCTAGCTATCTCTGTATCTCTCTCTCTTTCTCCATCTATCTATCTCTCTCTGTATTGCTGTATCTCTCTCTCTCTCTCTCTCTTTCTCTCTATCTATCTATCTATCTATCTATCTATCTCAAAATAAAATAATAATAATATTGTGTGATACAAGCTAAGTGTGAGAAGCAAGTCAATTCAAGAAGCAAGCCAGATACAAACAGCAACCCACACGGCAAAAGGCAGCAAGACACAGCTATCCAAGCGCTAAATGCAAGCCAGACACGCCAAGAGCAACCAGACACGCCAAGAGCAACCCAGACACGCAAAAAGCAACCCAGACACGCAAAAAGCAACCCAGACACGCAAAAAGCAACCCAGACAAGCAAAAAGTAACCTAGACAAGCAAAAAGCAACCCAGACACACGAAAAGCAACCCAGACAGACCAAAAGCAACCCAGACAGACCAAAAGCAACCCAGACACACCAAAAGCAACCCGGACAAGCAAAAAGCAACCCAGACACGCAAAAAGCAACCCAGACACACCAAAAGCAACCCAAATACGTCAAGAGCAAGCCAGACACGCCAAGAGCAAGTCAGACACGTCAAGCGCCACCCAGACACGTCAAGAGCAAGCCAGACACGCCAAGAGCAAGCCAGACACGTCAAGCGCCACCCAGACACGTCAAGAGCAAGCCAGACACGCCAAGAGCAAGCCAGACACGTCAAGCGCCACCCAGACACGTCAAGAGCAAGTCAGACACCCGTGAGTCAAAGCCGGACACGTCAAGCGCCACCCAGACACGTCAAGAGCAAGCCAGACACCCGAGAGTCAAAGCCAGACACGTCAAGCGCCACCCAGACACGTCAAGAGCAAGCCAGACACCCGAGAGTCAAAGCCAGACGAAAGTGGGAAGCGAGAGAGAGACAGCTGTGGGCGGCCTGTACCCTTGACCTTTGAAGCGTCTCGATAAAGTTCCTCCTTTTTTCGTTTTTAGTCATTTTCATGTAATTCCCCTTTTTGTTCTGTATTTTGCGATTTCTCCGTTTGAGTGCTTAAGAAAAAAATAAATTACTGAGGTTGGAAATGAACGTAAGAGAAATACGAGAGAGAGAGGATGAGAGAGGTGAGGGGAGAGTTTGGAGAAAGGAGAGAAAGAGGGATAGAGGGAGAGAAGAAAAGATAGATAGATGGAAAAAGGGAGAGAGATAGAGAAATAGATAGATAGTGAGACAGACAGACATACAGACAGAGATCAAGAAAGTGAGCAAGAGGGCTAAAGAGAGAGAGATAAACAGATACATGTATACATTAACGGATATGTTGATATGTTATATTAGAGAAAGCAGACAGACAGGCAATTATGGAGAGTTAGTGATGAAACATTTGATATAATCCAGGATCTGATTCATCGCAAAACTGAATTATATTTATACTAAATTCAAGAACAGTCGGAAGCCTTTTAAGTTTCAATTGTTACGGTTTTAATAATATAAAAGAGCTCATTTTCAGTGTATACATACTGTTCATAATAGTCTATTGTTTGCTTTCACGTCTCACATTAATATTTCTTAAATGGTTCTATTGTTTTCATTACAGTTAATATATATACTGATATTATTGTTCGCGTTTCTGCTGTCATTGCATTTAAATAGGATGTATTGCTAAAAGCATTGCAACAAATGATATTTCAAACCCATGTCATAAAACCAGATATGCTAATTACCTTTCAGGCGTTTATCTAACTATTCACATCAATATTTAGACAAGCACCGGTGCAATGAATTCAACTGAATCATCGCAAAAGCGATAAGTACTGAAATATCCCGAGAACAAACGGGCTAAGTAATTATCGTCTTGCTCTGTTTATAAATTCTTTAAGAATGAATGTTAATACAAATGTGTTATCTCGCAGCATCAAAAATACGCTATCTTACTCCTCTCCGTCCCTCCTGGAAGAGAGATGAATTGTTATTACTATTATCCTAATTGTGAATTAGTACCATTATTATGATCATTGTCATTATTATCATCATCACTGTTACCATGAACATCATTATCATAATTTTCATTATTATTATTATTGTGATTATTGTGATTATCATTACTATTGTTATCAGTATCATCCTTATTATCATTATCATCATTATTATCATCATTATTATTATTATCATTAATGTTAGCATTATTATTACTATCATTATTATTAATATTATCATCATTATTGTTGTTCTTGTTGTTGTTATTATTATTATTATTATTATTTCTATTATGATTGTTATTATCTTTTTTTTTTTAATATTATCATTATTGTTGATCTTGTTGCTTTCTCTCTCTCTCTCTCCCTCTTTCTCTCTCTCTCTCTCTCTCTCTCCCTCTCTCTCTCTCTCTCTCTCTCTCTCTCTCTCTCTCTCTCTCTCTCTCTCTCTCTCTCTCTCTCTTTCTCTCTCTCTCTCTCTCTCTCTCTCTCTCTCTCTCTCTCTCTCTCTCTCTCTCTCTCTCTCTCTCTCTCTCTCTTCTCTCTCTCTCTCTCTCTCTCTCTCTCTCTCTCTCTCTCTCTCTCTCTCTTTCTCTCTCTCTCTTTCTCGCTCTTTCTCTCTCCCCGTCTCTCTTTTTATCTGTCTATCTATCTATCTATCTCTATCTCTATCTCTTTCTCTATCTCTCGCCCTCGCTCTCTCTCTCTCTCTCGCTCTCGCCCTCGCTCTCTAAACGTAAAAAATCAAATATTCATAAATAAGCTTGAAAAAAAAAATCAAATATTCATAA